TACCTTGGCATTTGCTGATAAAAACATGTACTGTTCAGTACTTTTTGTAGTTGTATAATTCTACAGCTGATAACCAGATTACTAAGTGATATTACTTTGGGTTTTCTGCTTAGGTATGAAAAAAGTCTGCATATATAACATCAAGATTAATTGTGGTGTATGTTAATACAGGAGTCTGCCTTTTCCTTTGTGATTAATTGTTCAATAAAGGTTTCATTCGTCATTTGCTTGACAAATATTTATTGGGTTCTTTTACATAAAAAGCATTGCACTTACCCATCAGGTAAATGAAGGCTCTCTTGACAAAACTTGTAGACTTTGCAGTAGAATTTGGGTTCTTTGTGGTTATTGTTGTTAGATCTTACCGGTGTACATCCTCTGAAATATTTGGATGATGTATGGTTTGTTTTTTTTTTTAACATGAACTTTGTATTTCCAAAATGTACTAAATAATTTGAAAATTGAATTCCAAGTATAATACATAAATCGTAATAAACTATAACAATGAAGACTTTAAAGTAATTTTGATAAGGAGATTTGGGGCCATTATTATACCTAATGAATGTGACCTTTACCTGATAGTCTTTTTTCTTTTTTTTTTTTTTTTGGTCTTGTAAAGTGTGTTCTCTCCTTTTCCTCCCTCTCCCTCCCCATCTTTCTCTGCTCTTCCCCTCCTCTCCCTTTCCCAACTCTGCCCCGTCCGCCTCCCTCTCTCATTGGCCTCATTAAAGACAGATTAAGTATCAAGGAAATTTTACTTATTTTGTCCTTTTATTAGTGTTGCAGCTTTTAGGTCATGTAACTTGAGCTTTTTCTTTGAAAGGAAAAACAAGCAACAACACTGACTCTAATAATTCTAGAATGACTAGTGATAAAGTGAGTCCTAGACTCATAACAATGTGGAATTATATTTTAAATTATCCTGCAGTGGTGCTATTAATTGCTCCAATTTTTTTAATGATTTATAAAACATGGTAAAATAGGGTCTGGTTGCATCTAAATGATCACTGAGTATTATTTTATTGTTGCTGTTTTTGAAAATACCACCATATTTTAAATTTTCCTTGAAGAGTTAAGAATTTTTTTAAACATGATCAGGAGTATGAAGCGATGCTTCCAGTCCAGCCTAAAATTGCAGTGATAGATTGAGATTCTGCTTCAAGCCACATATCTCCATATTACATGCTTTTATACAAGCTGGGTAAATCTGATTTTGACTTTGAAGGCCGGTTGTGGTCGGTAATGTTTCATTTAGCCCATTGTTCATTGGTAAGATCAGGTTGCAAATTGTTCTGACACTTCATGAGATAATGTTAAATGAATTATTTAGTGTTAAGTAAAAAACCCTGCTAAATTATCTTAGACTATTCAAGGTTAATTAAAATATTTTAAGATTTAGTTCTTTAAAAGTATGTTGTCTTTTCAGTCCATAGATTAACCTTTTGAATTTTGAATCATAAGATATCCTCTTTTAATTAAAACAAAGCCTGTGGCGTTGACGTTTTAAATATATAATAAGAAGGTTATGTTTTTGTACAAGCTCTTTATTTTTAAAAAGTTAATTCAGTATAGTCCTTTTTATATTTAGAAGAAAAATACTTTGAGGCTAAAAATGACATGACACTATCAATGCTGAATTGACTAGAACAGTTACATTAGAACTGAAAGGAAAATGCCATGTTAATCTGAATCAGGATGCAGTAGCGTCAAGTAAAGTCAAGTGTAAGAATATGACAAGAATAAACTCCCATTTATAAAGAAGCACTTACCTAAACAAATTGAAGCCCGAGAGAATTTTCAAACTGTGAAGTAATGAGAACAAGCATTTAATGTGGAAGAAAGGAGTTACTGCACACCTCCCTCCTTGAATATCTCAAAATTAAATTGTGGGTCAAGATGATTGAAACAGGGACAGCAATTTGGTGGCAGCATAACAGTTTACCACTTAGTGAAGCCAACTGAGCACTGATTGCATCAAGGAACAGAGTTAAGATTAGACTACAAAGAGGGGTGTTTAGAAACCAGCTGTCATTGTTGTATTTTTTTCCCCAAAGTTCTAACACTTTGAAAACATTCTTATATTGCTCTCTTCAATCACCTTTTTTCTTTCTAAAGGCTTAACACAGTAGTTTTGCGACAATTTGGCCTGGAAGAATCATTTCTACAAACCTTTTTACAACTCTTTTAAGCCCAAACTGTCCTGTACTAACACTCAAATGCACACCTTGGGATTAATGTTTACTTCATAGCAGATGCAGTCAACTGCCATACTACCAACCCCACTTCCTGGTCCCTTTCAACACTGCTGTTGATTAGCTAAAGATAAGCTTTTGTGTAATGGTTGGCTTCCATTTGAGCAAGTGTTTTATTTACTGCTGCATTCCCAACCTCTAACCCAAATAGGTACCCAGTAAATACTTGCTGGGTGATTGCCAGCAAAAAACTCCTTCTGAAATCTGTCCTGGCACAGCCACAGTCTGATCAACAGAGCTGGAGAGAAACTGTGACTATATCCCAGAGGGACTTGAAGTCACGTGCAGGAGATTGTTTTTCCCTAAAACATTAAGAGGGCATTAAGTAAGTCCAGTACCATCTCTGGGAGTAGATGTCACTTCTAGACCTCTAGCAAGTGCTTTATTCATTTTCTTAGAAATTATATTTGGCTCAGTAACATTGTTTCTATATGATTTAGGGTTATATACACTAAATTTAAAAAGGTGGTTCTAGAGCACTTTTCTTACGCTTTATAAAAGAATCATTTTGTATTTAAAGGATAGATATAAATTTATAAATGATTGCAGGAATTCAAATATTTATATTTCCATGTAGAAATGATTGTATGGTGAATTTGGAAATCATAAAAACAAACCAGTAGTATTTATAACCTTCAAATTCAAAAAGCAGTTGGTTCATATCTAATAATCTGAGTAATTTGGTGTCATATACCTAAAAATAGGCAAAAGTAAATAGAGGAATTAAATATTGTACAGATATCTTTTATATTGCAAGCTGTACTTCTGAATAAATTTTAAAATGTTATTTTATTAGATAATATTGTTTTAGCGCTCTCCATGGGATTCAGAGGTGTTGATTCCCACCTTTTCCAAAGTATGTATGTTACCAGACACTCTCACCAGGAAACCCATCATCTTCTACCATAGTTCATTGGACCCCCTCCAAATACTGTTCTCTACCACCTCCACCCTCCCTGGTATCCTTAATTTTACCTGCACATTTCTAGGTTTTGGTTTTGGCTGAGCCTTTGTTTTGTTTCTATACATTCCACAGATAGGTGAAACCAGCTGGTACTTGTCTTTCTCCTTCCAACTTATTTTGCTTGCTCTGATCACCACCAATTCCATCCATGTTGTAGAAAAAAAAAAAAAGTGGCTTTTTTGTTTTGGTTTTGGTTTTGTTTTTTAACAGCTTAGTAATATTCTATTGTGTATATATAACATATCTTTTTAGTCCCTCGTGTCTGGTAACTTAGATTGTTTCCACAACTTAGCTACCATAAAAATTACTACAGTGACCATAGAAGTGCCTATATCCTAAAGGAATATTTTTTTAGTTATTTTTAGAATTTAGAATGAAATGTTTTTAGCTCCTTTCTACAGCATTGAAGGACTTAAAAGTCTCATTCAAATAACTATTTGGTGTTGAGTACATTATTTTTAAATGACTGGCATTTTTTTGTAATGACCAACATTTTTATGGCTTTCAAACTAACCTTCCAAAAAGCACTATTTCTTTATACTTCCTTTCCTGATTATAAAAATAATAGGTACTTGTTGCATAAATTTTAGAAAAGATATAGAAATCTTCTTTAAGAAATCATAGATTGCATTAATTCTGATCTCACTTTTACTATTCTACATTCTTTTTAAAGACACTTGTTCTTACTAAATATGCAGTTTTCTAGTGTGACTCTCAGGTATTTTTGCTCTGATAGTTAAATCTTACTAGTTCCTTTTTTGCTCACTTCCCTTCCTAAAATAAATCTATTAGTAGTTCTCTCCAGACCTATGAATGACAAACTTAGTTTTTGTCAAAAATATTTTATTGTTCTTCAGTTATAACTTAGCTCATATGGTTGGCAGTTTTTTCCTTGTAGTACTTTAAACATATTCTTGTATTCCAATATCTTACTGATAAATCTAAAGGTAAAATGATACCTTTTGGCTTAAAAACAGTCACCTTGAAAAGTTTTTAGATGTACTGTTCTGATACATTAATGAAGCCATCTAATTTTGAAAATAAGAAAATGGTTGAGTGTGGCTCATTGTGAATGTAGCAATATTTAATCCAAAACAAAATTTCCTAAGGTTGCTACCTGAGTGTGTGTGCCTGCTCACCCGTGTATGATTTAAGCGTTGTGCTTTGTCGTATGCTTTACATAATATCATGTGTTTGTTTCATGGCTCTTTTTTTTTTCAGAAGTAGTATTTTGAGTTACATTTTAATTTGAATGGAATTTTCCATAGTTCAGACCACTGTCTAGTAGAATTTTCTGTGATAATTGAAATGCTCTGTATCTGCATAATCTGGAAGAAAACCACTAGCTGTTAGGCACTGAGTGCCAGAGAATTATCCTTTTGCTTTTGTCTTTTCTCCAGTGAATACACATTCTAAGGTAATAACTTTATGAGATTTAGACCATATGATTTGAGATCACTTGTTTTTACATGAAGATATTTTTTCCAGAAATTTGAAGCTAATTTAAATCTTTCCTTTAGCACTTTGTATTTAGCACACAGTATAGGATTAAAAGAAAATTATAGAACTGTAATGTTACAGTTTTTAGGCTGGTTTATCATTTAGTTTCTATATTAGAATGATTCATATTCAGTGTGTTTTTGAAATATTAAAGCTGGTATACCTTCTGAGGTTATTTTTTCACGTATGAAATACTGTTTCTCAAGTAAGAAATAAAGGAATAACTCCTCAGATTTTACTCTAACAAACAAGTAAATCTGTTCATAATGCCTTCTCTTTTTCAGGTTGCAAATAGAAGAGTCCTCCAAGCCTGTAAGGTTATCACAACAACTGGACAAAGTAGTGACAACCAATTACAAGCCTGTTGCTAATCATCAGTACAATGTAAGTCTTTGTCTTGTTATATTGGTGTGTTTATTCTTTTCAAGGTGATGTACCTTTCTATCAGGTGCTTGAACCATCCATACTTACTAAGGAATAGGATAGTGTGCAGAGGATACAAAAGATGTTCACGCTGTATCCTGATTTGAACAATGAGAAGAGAGCAGCCATTATCCAACCCACTCTTGAAAAGTTTTTCAAGAAAATAAAACTTTAGTTTTCAATGTTTATGATATTCTAAATTACTAATAAATACTAGTTTTTATTATCTTTTTTCTATACCTTAAACAGTTTTTAAATATTTCTGCAAACATTTTAAAAGGTCATGGAACCATGGTATTTTTTCCTATTGATTAAAGTCATTTTGCATAGTTTCACCTTTCACAGGTCTTACACTATCCTGCAAAGTGAAAATTGCTCAAATACGTTCTTTAAACCTTTTTTTATACAAGTACATCTTATTTCTACATATGTATGTTATATATGTTATATACATATGCAATATATGTACATAATGCACATTTAATGCATGTTGTATACAGTTTCTACTCTTGTATATGTTTTTAACCACAGTGAGAAGAAAGAGCACATTTTCCATAGGATTAGATAAACATACAACCTTTCTGGAGGAAAAGTTTGATAATTTATCAAAAACACTATAGAGGCAAATAACCTTTGACATTGCAGTTTTATATCTAAGAATTTCTTAGTAAGACATGCCTAAAGACATATGTATAATAGTGTTTATCTTTATCATTTAACATAGGGAAAGATTGGAAACAAATATCCAAAATTATTATATAAATGCTATAACACTTGTTATTTTTGCATGGTACGTGCTAGGTTAAGTAGATCCTGACTTTCTTCTTCTTTTTGAATTGTTAGAATTGCCATAGTGACCAGATATTGTCTGAATTTTGCAGTGGGTAGTCAAACTTTTCTTTGGACTGAGAAAGAAAAAAAAACTAGAGAAGAGTGTTAGTACCTAACCATGATAGTATCCTGCCATAATTATCTAAGATTTGCCTTTTCTCGACATATTTTTAATTCCTTGCTTTTGCTTAAGATTCCTTTTCTCAAGAAGCTACCATTTCTTACAGTTCTCTGGTCATGACTTTCTAGGTTCCAGATGGGGTATAATCTGTATGTCCTTTGACATAGTGAGTCAACATTTGTGTAGATTATAATCCTTTTTCCTAAATTCCACAGGGGTAATTCCTGTTATACTGTTATAGGCCATCATTTGTGAACAATACATCATTTAGGTCAGTCAAAGCTGCCACTTTGCTAGTATGAAAAGTCTGACCACTCACTGTTTAGTTATGTTCATAGTGATACTGGAAAACATAAAATGCTGTATTTTTGCATCATCTATATGAATACTTGATATTCTGAACTCCTTTTAAGATATAAAGCTATAAATCCACTTTAAACACTCTTAAACGTGACATCAGGTCATATTATAAACCTTTATTAAGGTTGTCATGGTGTGAGTGAGTCATTATACTAATGCAGTTATAACAATGAACCATATAGTAATCATTGAGATTTGTTTACATGAAAACAAAAGATTGAGGCCCTCCCTGGTAGCACACAAGGGATTAATTCTCAGCACTATGAAGTCCATCCCTGGGAAGGGAGCTGACCTACCTCAAGCAGCAGACCTCTTTTGTCTTGCTTGCTGCTTCCCCTCAGCAGTGTGTTTCAATCCTTCTGCCTGTTCTGCTCCCAACTCTGTCTCTAGTGAATTCTCCTACCTTCCCAAACCTCTAGCCTACACTCTAGCTCTTGTATGCATAAATAAAATAAATCTTTGGGGGGAAAAATTAATTATAATCTATCAGGTTGCATTTTTTTAATATAATAGTTTTTTTCCTTGGGAAGGTATCAAAATAAGCAAAGATACCTGCATACCTTTTTTTATTTTGCATACCTTTTAAAAGTTTATAATGTCAACTCTAGGAAGAGTATAAAACTGTTGTCATTATCAAAAGGGAACACTGACTTTTGAATGTTGAGAAACACTGACGTAGTTCAACAGGAATTAATTAGAGGTTACATAATTACGGCATTCAGTAAAAACATTTGAACATAGTATAATGTTGAAATGTTTTCATTTCCAAGTGGAACTATGTAAACATGAAGTCCAATATTTCATTTTATTGTCTTTTTTTTTTTTTAAATTGAGGCAGCATTGGTTGACAACACTTGTATATGATTCAAATGTATGTTACCAAACCACACCTGATGCCAAGGAACCCATAGTCCTTCACTAAGGCCAGTATTTCATTGTAACGAAAGGGAAGTTGGAAAATGGCTTATGTATTTGTGAAACTACTCTGCATGTGAGCAGAAAGAAATATACTTGTATTTAGTCCCATAAACTTTTTCACCCACCTATGGCACATAGGTAAATCTGCATAAATATTTACATTTTCACTGTACATGGAGCCTAAGCAATACATTCAAATGTAGTTTTTTAGTTCACAAATTATCTGGGGTATACTACCTACCATACTAGCTATTTAGAAAACATTTATTGGACAAAAAGAATTATATGATTAGTAGTAGTGCTTAGACTACCCCTTTCCTGAAATCATGGACCTAAAACTTCACCCCTGTGTGGGATAGAAACCATCAAATTTCTTCCTTAGTGGCCTTACCTTGCCATATTTCCGTTCCTCCAACATTTGAAGTAGTAAAAAGAAACTTTGGCAAATAATGGGTTGGCAGAGAACTTACAAGAGACCTATTGAATGAAGGTAGGATGTATATTGGAGCTTATATTTATCATATTTTCCCCCTAATAGAAGAAAAATTGCTCTTTAAAAATATTTACTATGGCAGTTCACCCTCATACCCCTATGTAATCCTTGTATCAGCCAGTGATTTTTTTTTTTTTTTTTTTTTTTTACAAAAATTTTTTTTTTTTAGCAAAAACTAGAACACACAGGGGATATAGATGCTGCTTTAAGAACTCCTGTTTTCATCTTCCAGCTTTTTAGTTTGCTGCCACATTAAGGGCCTTAGAAATTATAATGTCTATTAACCAAAAAATCAATTTCACAAAAAGAATAAATGATTTAGGGCCCTCCCTAGTGGCTCATGTGGGTTAAAGCACAGCACTGAGAAGCTAAAGCCACTTAAGCATGAGTTCGATCCCCACCCCCAAGCTGACCCATATGGCACAGCAGACCTCTCCTGACCTGCCTGCTGCTCCCCTCAGCAGTGTTCTTCAGTTGTCCTGTTCTGCTCCTCACTCTGTCTCTGGTGAATCTTCTCACCACCCCTGTACCTCTGGCCTGTACCCAAGTTCTGTATGCATAAAATAAATATTTTTTAAAAAAACAAGAATAAATCATTTTTTTAAAGGCGAAAGATTTATGTGATCTGAAGAGAAAACAGAGTATGAGAACAAATGATTTTAAAAGATTCTGTGGGGCCTTCCTGATGATGTGAGAGATTAAGGCATAGCACTATGAAGCTCTCAGCAGACACTGCAGCAGGAGTTCAATCCCCAGCAAGGGAGGTGACCCACATGGGGTTGCAGACTTCTCCTGTCTGGCTCCACCTGCCCACTGTCTGTAGTGAGTCCTCTCACTCCCTGCACTTCTGGTCTGTACCCCAGTTCTTGTATGCATAGATAAATAAATATTTTTTAGAAAAAAAAGATTTTGTAAAGAATCTTTAAGTTCAAACTAATAAAGCAAACATACATGAACATGAAAGTAGAAAAATTTATACCTCCCTTGTTTCTAAAATGATCTCTTTATCAGTCACTTGACGCAGAAAGATGACATAATCCGAGCTGACAAGAACTTAGTCCTCCCCAAAAGGAAATTATTAATATCATTTGGCTTGCTTGTCATCCCCGGCCTTTAATGATGATTCAGTTAGTGTCTATCATGGAAACAAAGCGACTCTAGATTTTTCAAGCAGAAAGGAATTTGACGTAGGGAATTGGTTACAGATGGTTTATGAATACAAAATGGAAGGGCTGGAGTTACAAAAAGAAGGGGGTTTGTTACCAGGATCAGGAAGCTGCTGCTGTTGGCTTTGCTCCCACAAGCACAAAAAATAAAAAAACCTTCTCTTCTACTTTCATTCTCCCATTGGCAGAACCCCAGCAGGAAACCAGCTGGCAATGGAAATTTGGGAGTATAGGCACAGGTCAACCTGCTGCCACCCTGCCAAGGTCGAGCTAAAGACTTGTCAGAAATAAGTGCCATTGTGTCCCTTGACCTTTGTGAGTTGTATATTAAGCTAAATCAGCTATTGTTAGTACAAAATTATCACAGTTTGCAATTCACTTAAAAACTAAACATTAAGAACAGGAAAATAAATCCTATATTTTGAATGCAAAAATTTGAAGAATTTTGTGATTTTGACAAATTAATATTTAAAACTCTAAAAATAACATTTTGCTTTCATTCATTCCTTAAATTTTGTGTTTGCTTTATAATATCTATGTATATGAACACAGTATGGTACGTGTTTGTTCATGCTTTATATATTTTGCTGATAAAAGTAGATAATCAAAATGTAGAGTGAGCTAATATATTAGTAAGATACCTCCCAACACCCTTCATCTCTGATTGCAAGTGATGATGCTTCTCTGCATGTGTTTTGTTGATTTTTGTAGACATCATCATGTAGCCTGAATAAGTTTTGCAGCATTCCAATTTAAAGTCCGTAGTCTTTTTACATAAGGAACTCATTCTCTCTCATAAGAAATCATGTCCTTTGTTTACATTGTGGTTCTCAGTAAAAACTGCCCGTTGTAATCACCTGGACAGCTTTTAGAAAAGAAAAATATTTTCAGAGGTTTATTTAAGTGCTGTAATGTAGAGCCCAACAATCTCAAATTGTTTAAGTTCCCAGAGTAATTTTAGCATATTGTAGATCTGATCCAAAGAGACAGGGGACTTTTATAGTCCAGGCTGCTTTGTCTTGTTGGGATGGAGGCGAAAAATGATAGCTGGAAAGAGACCAAGAACTTTCCACCAGACCTAATGTTTTTTTTTGTTTTTTTGTTTTTTTTTTTAAAAAAGCATCAATATCTTCTTGTCTGTACTTTCCTCTCATCCCTAACCCCCTTCCAGCTTAAAAAGATTTCCCTTTTTTTTTTTTGGAAACAGCTCTGGGTCAGAAAGCAAAAGAAAACTAAAAAAAAAAAATTTAACTGGAAAGTTACTGTTGGAAGAAAGAGAATTATTATATAAAATCTTTAGGTATACCCCCAGGAACTACAAAGTAAATCTGTTTTTATGCATACTTTGATTTCTTCGGTGTGACTACCAACTCTTAGTTTTTAGACCCTAGGTTCCTGGATTTTTTGGTTTGTGTTTTTGAGTTAAATGTATAAATGTGCACTTTTGTTGATTAAAACAGTACTATGTTATAAATGCTTTTTTTCACTATTTGCCTGTTATATGGAAGAATACTTCATAATCTGTCCTTTGCATACCAAAGACTAATGACTCCAAAGAATAAATTTTCTTCCTAGAAATAAGGACAGAATTTCTATTCAAAGCAGAAATATTGGGAGTGAGGGGAATCTTTCTTGAGGATTTAAAATGCAAACCATGATATTCAAGGCTGTCATGCTCACTTCAAAAGTTAAAATAAAAGCTTCCACAAAAGACTGCCTTGACAAAGCAATCAGAGTGTTTCCGCAAACAGCCATCTAGAAATTTACAGACATCTGTATTATAATATTTTAATTGGCAGTGGGTGGCATTTATAATTTTAGTCAGTGATTAACATTTCAGTAATGATAGTTGAACATATCTGTACCATAATCACAGTGGATTTTCAACATTTGATTGCATTTTAGTCTTGAATAATTAGTTTTCTACTATGAAAGTAAAATGAACTGTGTGGATATATTTTTGGGGCATTCATAAGTATTTGTTACTGGAGACTAAACCTAAAATTTCTTTCTGAATTAACTTTTATTTCTATGCATTTGGTTTTACAATGATCTGTGGTCATTGGGGGCAGATATAAGATAGGTAATTAAAATTCACATAACTGAAAAATTGTTCTGTCCAGTAACTATCTTCTTAATACTTTGTGGTAGCTGCTGACAAGTTGATATTTGATTACCTTGTACCACTTCCTTACAGTGCCATTACAACTCAAAATATCCAAAGAGCCAAAAAGAGGAGGAAAAAATAACATCTCAAAACTGTTCACTTTTCAATAGGCTACTTCAGATCATTTGTATGGTTACTATTTTTTATGGCACAAAGTTGTAAATACAATACTAACATTATCACTTCTGTTATGTTTAGTAAAAAGTGGCAAGGACCTTAACTTTGTCTTGAATATAAGATTAGTTATTAATAGCTTAATGGCCAAGTAAATCATTTAGATCCCTTTTTGATAATTATATGTACATTAGACTGTCTGATACCACTGAGTGGAATTTGGAAAATAAACCCGTCTTCAACATTATCAAAAAAGATTTAACTCTTTCAATTTCTGTACTACAAAAATAAATGTTTTTAAAACAGTTTGCACAGATTATCCTATATTACATACCCTAAGGGCATAAAAGAAACATTTGCATTTTATTTTTTGTTTATAATTAAGTCTAGGGTTAACCTTCTAGTATTCAGATTTCTCTAGTGAGGAATAACATGTCCTTGTTTGTCATTGTTATTATTTATGTCTCAGTCTTCAGATGAAACCTTTGTTTTTTTATTTCACTTGTTGAAAGTATACCTGGGCTGCAGTGCGCCAGGTATTGAGCCATTGGTAGACACCACTAACACAGAAAGGTCATTTCTTCTCCAATAATTTCTTTTACAGAGATAAAGATTTATAGTCTGTTTTCCCCTTAACTTTAAGAGAGCACAAATATTAAATGTAGTATTTTTTTACAATGAAATATATAAGCCAACATATAAGAAATAGATCTTTGTAGAAACTAGACTTTGCTACTCATTAACATTACTAATCACAACTTCAACTGACCCTTAATATTATATTCAGTACTAACTTTTAAATTCATTTATAATATAGTAAATTCTTACCATTGTGTCAGACCCTTTTGAATTTGACACTTAGATTTGGGGTTGGGACAACTTGAAAACAAATACTTGATTAAAATTTTTTCTTTCTAAAAAATAATAATGATGAACAACTATATATCAGAGGTATTTTACAGGGCTGGAGTGGAGTGAGTAATAAGATCAAAAACAGGGGGAAGGGAAGTGCATGGCACTATGGTGATGACACACAAGTGAATTGGTGGTGGGAAGCCCACAGGGATTACAAGTGAGATGGAAAAAGGCACAAAATGATGTAAAAATAAACAAGTATTAAAATTTTTTTTTTCTTTCTACTCCCAGGTAAAGTGTGTACCCTCTCAGAAGTGGGACATCTTGCCTTGCCAGGAGGTTTCATCTGAAAATATTTTTCCTATTAATCTTCCTATCTTCTCCCATCATTTTATACAGGAAGAAACTGCTGAGAGTGAAATCTGAATATACTTTTACTTCTCTTTCTTACCTTCTGAATTTAACTTTTTCCATTTCTGTCAGCATAAATTAAAGTCAGGAGGGAGTGCAGACCAGAGTGTCAGCAATTGTAGCTCAATACAGCGAATACAAAGTCCAGCATTTGTCTTTTGCTAGGTTGCCACTTGCTTTGTGTTGTTTCTCTTGAGGACCAGCTGCCTTGGGCTAAATCAAATCCCCATCTCACTCAAACCTGTGAGAAAGAAATAGACTCTAGCCCCCTCTTCCTTAGTCTGATTCTACATCCCTCTCTTTTCTAGATCCTAAGTTAAGTTTCTTTTTCTCACACTTACCTGGTATTCCCCACTCCCTTTCTAGACTCTACTGGCACTGCAAAGGAAACCCACTTAAGTACAGTGCAGTTGGAGGGTTTAGCATGCAAATTAAGTACAACTGTAAACAGAGAACATGTGATTTATTTTAGATATTGGTCAACAAGGCAGGACTTAAAATATTAATCTCTCAAGGCAGTCCATGATACCATCTTGTCTTTGATCCAGAAATCCTCATGCTTGATTTTTTCGGTTCTTTGCCATCACACAGCCATTTTCTTAGTTCTAGCCTTTTTCTGATACCAGAAAAATAAACTTTTTCTTGAATGAACTTCAAGTCCATCATTTCCAGTCTTTGCTATCACTGCAGCCTTCTTTCTTTCTAAATTGAGGTAGACTCTGTATTTTGCCTTTGTCCTTAAATGCTTTTTTAAATTATCTTTTCCATTTTGAGAAGATTTTAATTTTTCCTAAATCATAGGTTTCTCTGGTTTTCACTTCTTGGTTACAGTCTTAATTCTAACTCCTTTAGCCACTCTGCTCTTCTCTAGTAAATCTTTAGTTGCCCATAGTTGATCTTTCCTGGGTAACTCCTGGTCTACTAATACTACTATTTCTATTTTGAAATGCTCAAAACCCTCTGCATTGGAATACATGAGCAGTTTTGAAAGAGACTACCTTATTTGCCCTATACTTAGTGCAATGCCAAGCACATAGTACATGTTTAGAAGAGATTAATGTATTTTGAGTTCTACTTCTGAAGTGTACACATCAAAAAAATTAAGACAAGTTAGTCTTTTCTTCTTGTGTGGCTTCTAATAACAAATCTATTGTTACAAGTGGAGGATAGGCCTACTATATGAGGGTAGAACTATTACTGTAATTTAATTGCAAGTTTTGAAATGCATTTCATTATTTTGGGAGATAGTTCCTAGGCAGTTATTCCAGTTGATGTACAGGAAACTGTTCTCTGGCACCTTTCACTCAGTCTGCTAATGCTTTATTTACTGGGTGGGCTACTTTATGGATATACCTCCTCAAACAAATTCCAGATGCTCTATTAAACTGAAGTTTTGTTTTGTTTTGTTTAATTAAAAGTTTAACCAACTGAAACTATTGCACATAACTTGCATGTTTTCAGGAAAAATGGTTTATTTTTAATGGTCCCCACATGATAACACTATACATTGTTTTACAAAAGAAACACATTCAAGGAGATCTCACAAAATCAAGATGGAGAAAAGGCTTCTTGGCGCTCTGTGTTTTTTCCTTTTTATGAGTAGTTTTTAGACCTTTCACTTCTGGAGTGTTCTACCTGCCCAATAACCTCCTGCCTGCCCCCAGATTTCAATTTTAAACCCTCATTTTCCCTTCCAGAACATATTTATTAGATAAGTGATTTTATTGTATACTGGATAGTCAAAAACAAAAGAACTGCAGAGTAGACTTTCTGATCAGCACAAATTAAAGAATTGATATAAAGTTGGCAAAGAAAACCTATGTGGGTGGGGAGGAAATGGATATATTACATAAAGTTTTAGGAAATAATAAAAATGGTTTGCAGATTGGCTTTAATACTTTCTGAACACCTTACATGTCTTGAGAGGCCTGGGAGCAATGATAGTCCCAACTTCTGAACCATTGCTCTTTAACCTGCTGCCTTGCAACTTCAAATCTAATAGTTATTTGAATGTAAAAAAGAGAATGCCAGTGTTTCAAAGTCCTGTGTTAAATTGATGCCTTTGTTTCTTTTCTTTTTTGCACAGATTGAATATGAAAGGAAAAAGAAAGAAGATGGAAAACGTGCTCGAGCTGATAAACAACACGTTTTAGACATACTATTTTCAGCGTTTGAGAAACATCAGTATTATAATCTTAAGGACTTGGTGGACATCACAAAGCAGCCTGTGGTATGTTTCTCACTGGTCCTTTAACTATGGCCTGCTTCATTAACATGGCTCTACTGAAGGGAAATGCATCATATAATTATATACATGCACTTTTGCTGGTGTTGGTTTTATTTTAGCCAGAGAAGATGCAACCATTTTTTTTTCTAACTGCACTTCATTGTTTTGCCTTCAAGTGTATTTAAGCAGTAGTTCCTACCCTATGAAGAAAAGGATTTATATTCTTTTTGATGGATCCTAGATGTTAAGTCTGAATTCTTTGCTTTTTTATTTCTAGTCTTTATTTTGTCCCCCTAGCTCCTTCCAATAAAGCTCCACTTCTTTTTCTTTGAAGAGATGCCTTATAGAAGAATCACATTCTTTAAGGAGTCTAATAGTCTATCATGGTGAGAATGTTTATCCCTACCTTACAAGCTGTTCTCTCTGGATTATTTTTTTTAAGTCAGAGTCTGTCCTCTAGCAGTAGGGCCCCTTAAACTTAGATCTACTAAATTTGTGATTGTGTTATCCTATTCTCCATTTGTAAGAAAAAATGTAATTGATATTTTTATAAGTTTATGTTTATTCTATAAATAATCCTTTTATTATTTTCCCACATTTTTGTACCTATTTGCTAATAATAATTGTATTTCTAATCCATTTAACATGCTGATAACAAGGAATCCAAATCCTTTTACAGCCTCTGAGTCTTATTTCCTTCCATTTAACTTTTTCACATCACTTGTTTCAAAATAGAAATTTGAATTATGGAGTATTTACTTATAGGTTAAAAATTTAAATGGAGATCCTTGTTTTCTGTCCTTTCAGCTAACTTCCTTTCTCATTCTATCTGCTGTCATTATTTGTCAAGTGAATTCTAACGGTTCCATTCACTTGATTTAAAATAGGTAAAAGATAAACAATTTTAAAAACACTTTTACATAATCAAATAACTGTTTATTAAAGAACTGGTATTTTTTTTCTAACTTATTCAGAAATTGAGGAAATGATGAAGTTTACGAAACTTCAGTGTTGACTATAGTTTCCCACTCTTGCAGAGATTTCTTTACTGTTATACTTCAGCCTTTCAGTTTTTCATTAAGAAATTAAATTCCAAAAGATTCTTTTTTTAAATAAAGGCCATACTGCAGCATTACCAACTCATTTTAATGACCTCACTCCTTTAAGCATCAAAGTCTACTCCAAGCTATATAAAAAAATTGAAATAGAAAAATTCATTAGTAAGCTGTTTTTCTTCTGATTTTAATGAAGTTTATCCTTGTGTGTGTGTGTGTGTGTGTGTGTCAATGAGTGAAAAGGTCATTCCAGAAACTCAGAATGCAAGCAATATAACTTCATTAAATAATCATGCAAAACAATTATGGGGGAAAAGGCATTTGTAGAGGAATTTTCAGATGATACTGGGAAAAGCAATTTCTGGCCTTAACATGGAATGACTTTTTTAAAGTTTGGTTCATTTTATACCAGAGAAAAGTGATAAGCTAGTATTTTTCTCAGTTTTGGTTATTAAGATTCTTGTGTGTTGGTACTCAGAGAATCTCTTAAAATAAGTGTCTTAATTCTTGGTCAGTAGATGGAGGGGGCTAGTATTCTCCCAAATATATGCAAAAATGTACACATTTTTTCAGGAGCCAGACCCATAGTCTGTGTCCGATTCTCATGGAGGGCCTGAGAACCCTAAAGAAAACCACTGATCTAGAATGAAATAATGTTATTATTTAGGGACTAAATTACCCTGGCAAGCACAGGTTTCTCGAAAGCAGTGTTGCATATTATTCCCATCTCGTACTCATACTTGTACTCTACAGCATTATTGAAATTTCAAAAATTTTGTTAGGTTAATTTGAAAAAAAGAAATGTTATCCAAGAACCACCATATTTTACTCAGATTTTGACAGGCCTCATGTCATTTATGGTGGACATGGGAAACAAAGAGTCAGTCTTGAGAAAGTGTGGGGATGCCTTCACCACACTGAAGGTCGCCAGAGCTACAGCTATCCTTGCCTACAGGAGGGGCAGGAAGTGGTCGGGATGGGTTCCTGTCCTACCATTTACCTCAGTGGAGTCTGAGGAAATTACATCATTTGAGGGAGTTGGACTAAATTATATTTGTGATACCTTCTAGCCTGATTCTGTCCCTCTCCTATTTTTTCCCTCCTTCTGTCTCCTCTCACATTTGAACTTTTAAGTTGGAAATCCTATTGCCTAGAGAAAAAAGTCATCAAAGCCCTGATCTGATCATGTAAATAACTGTCCCCTTTGGTTCATAGAACATAAATGAGTATATACAAATGGACTTCAGTATACCCTTATTAATTTGATTTTAGTCTGAGAAATACCAAAAGAGTAAAAGAATCCAATATAACATAATGATTAGTGATTCAGGAATGGCTTCCTGGTTTGATGGAAAGAGCATTGGATTTGGAATAAGGGGGTAACAATTTAAGACCCAGCTCTACTTTTAGCCAAATAGTTGTGGACAAGGTACTTAAATACATTTAATGTTTAATACATTATTTATTCAATATTCAATATACTTAACATATGACATCATATAAAATTTATCAATATATTCAAATTAAATGTTTATAATATCATAAAATTATATGTAAGTGTTTTAAAAGGACTCCATACCTAGTTTACAGAGTTCTTATTAATGTTTATGGAAGGTGCATTGTCAACTACAGAGTATTTTACTAATATTATTTGCATTATTATTAAACAAAATCTTGAGCCCCGCAAAAAAGAAGAAACCTTATTCCAGTTAACCAGCTCTTTGATAAATGCATTTAAATGGCCTGTCATTTTTTGATGGCCCCCACAGCCTTTTTTGACATGTCTTACCATGAAATGTATCACTCTATCACATCCTCTTTGCTTTTAACACTACTCCTTTATTCCTAAATTACCATCTGCTTCCTGACCTTTAGAATTTCATTTTTGATATATTCTGAGTGGATCTGAAGTATTTTCTTGTTTTTTTCCAGTTTCCTTCCATTCTGTGTTCTTCTTAAAAACCTGCACTCTAGAAGCAAAATTATTGATTAGAGAAACTATCTGTAGAACTAGTCGTTTTCTCTCATTCATCAGTGTGTGACTCGCATGTGCAATCAAAGAGGTAGAATTACTCATCAGGGGCAAATAAGCCCTTTAAAAGGCCAACCTCTGATAACTAATGTAAAGTCAGAACACAAGTAGGCATTTACAGAAGGGTTTCATACAATTTAAGTTAAGGAAAAGTTCCCCCCACTAATGCGAAATGTTCAAGGAAGCCTATTATTTCACCTCTGGTGGTCTTTGATCTTTTGCCTTGAATGTGTTATATCTACTTTTTGTTCATGCTTTCTTATATTTAAAATAGAAGCAAATACAGCATTTCCTTCAAAAATACAAACCATTAGAAAGTTTATCTAATTGCTCCCTTTGAAACACTGAACTGCCAAGATCACTTGGAACTCTTAATACCTTGTTCTCTACATTTCCCCATTTACCAGTGCTCTGTTAGCGTTACAGTTCTTTCAGAAGTGTCATTGAAAATCAGTGCTGCTAATAAGAAGCATCCTAATTACTTTGTGCTTTATACATCCAATTTTTAGGTCAGGATTTAGGGAAGTCTACTTTTACTTAGGTGACTCTTCTGAACCAGCAGTCTCAAATCATGTCAATTCAGTGAATCATTGTTAAAACTCAGAATATGTAATTGAACAATTTGCATGGCTTTATTAAACCCAGTTCAAGTCAACAGGACAATCTAGGCAAAGATTTGTGTGCCTTTGTTTTTTGAAGCAATTTGGTGCCCATATTTCAAGTTTCCTAGCTGTGTGCTGAATAGACAGTTGCTTACTTGCTGTATTGAAAAGCCAATACAGCAGTTAGTAATGTTAACCTAATCCTCAGAGTTTGTTTCCAGACAGGCCTAAGGAAAGGCTTGAATAGAAAAAAAAAAAAAAATTGCCATCAGTAGATGTAAGAAGACACTTTTTTTTTTTTTTTTAAAGATTTATTTATTTGTACATACAGAACTGGGGTACAGGCCAGAGGCTCAGGGGTGGTGAGAAGCTTCACCAGAGACAGAGTGGGGAGCAGAACAGGTAGATCAACGAAGTACACTGCTGAGGGGAGCAGTGGGCGGGCCAGGAGAGGTCTGCCACGCCATGTGGTCTCCTCCGGGGCAGGCGGGAATTGAACTCATGCGGAAGTGGCTTTTTTTTAGCTTCTCAGTTCAGCGCTTTAACCCGCTGCGCCAACAGGGAGGACCAGAAGACACTTTTTAAAAGGATAAAATGGCTGGATAATTTGAAAAATTATCTGCCAAAAAAATTTTTTTTATTTACATTATATGCTATTATAAATCTGTGAATTGTTAAGATTCTTTAAGTTTGCAGGGAATAGAAATTCAACTCAGACTGGCTTTAACTAAAATAAAATTATTGGTTTAAGTAGCTGAGAAGTGATGGAATGCATCTAGCTTTAGACATGGCCCGATCTTGCTACTAATATTGTTTAGTTAGAACTATTTCTTATCATCTGTCCACCTTTCTCATCATCATTCTATCCTCCTTAATGTTTTGTCTTTATTCTTAGACAGGATCTTGCTCTGTGGTTGCCAAAATGGCTTCCTGAAGCCCCTCACAGATGGTAATCCTTAAGCAAAAAGAGAGTGTCTGTCCAGATTATTTGGTGAAGACCCCAGAAAAAATGTAGTTGACCTAAAAGATTGATGCTTATTCCTTAACCAAGAGGATAGGGTAGGGGTATTCTACCAGCCAACATCTACTGCCTCTCCCCCTTTTGTGACACACTGTCTAGTTCCAATTAGTAACATCTAATCAGGTGGGTTTTTTTTTTTGTTCTCTCAAATTTCAGTATGTTCAGATCAAGGATTTCTATACCCTTTCTAAACTTCCCCACCCCAGAATTTCCATTTCAACAAGTGGCACCACCATTCTCAAGTTGTTGAAATCAAACATCTGTATTCCTGTGTATTCCCGATGACACACCTA